AGCAGATAAGTCTTGGATGCTAAAATAAATGAGAAGAAGTGTTTTTTTGTATTTTATGGAGTTTTGCATTTTTGTCAATAAACACCAGATAGTATATATTTTCTGGCCGGATTTCTTTGAAGAACAAGATATAGACATTGCATTTTGTAAATCTATCATGCTGATGTGTATTTTTTCCTGAACAAAGTTTTCTGGGAGTATTGCTGCACTCTGCACAATATTAGAACACAATCTTGTGGTGGCTAGGACACCATCCATGACACCACAACGTTCCTCCCTCAGTGACTCAATTACAGGGTGACATTGGATTGTCCTATGGCATACTCATAAAGGAGATGGTCTTTCCAACATTGGAAATGTCCAAGAACGAAAATTGCAAATTTAAGTGTGACAAAGGTTGAACCCAAGGCTTGTTTGGGAGATGCAACTCCACTGAATTCAACCAACCTCTGGATTTCTACCATACCCAGATGCAGAGACTAAATCAGATTATCCTATACTGATCGAAATGAGTTCCTTCCCATTTAGAAACAAACAATGAAACAGGGAGGAATATTTATGACAGCAGCTTCTTCCTGAACTTAATCTTGCTAGGATAAACCCAGCAAAGAGTTAAGTCTGACAGATACTTCAACATCAGATCTCTCTGAGCAACCTGATAGGATTGATCTGTTAATCTAGTTCCTTTTAACTATGTAGAATAACACATAGTAAGATGTCCCCTCATTCTGTTTTTTAAAAAATGTGTGTCAAATAGCATCAACAAATCTCACTGCATTGCTTTTTGCCCTCTTTTCAGATACGTGGATTAATTCATGCATCCCGGAAGTAAGCACAATTGCATTACCAGACAGTTCCACTGAGCTGAACTCTACTTCAACAGACTCATTTCAGAACATCTCAGCATGGGCTGAAACAACTCAATTACTACAAACACCAAAGCCCCCAAAGTATCGTGTCATATGTGTAACAGAAACTTTAACACCCGAACCTACTCCCAAGAAGGAAAATATGCTTTTTACTGACAAACAACATGCCTTTAAAAATGATGGTTTCCTATTTGGAGGTAAAAGCCATACTCGGTGCTTTGAGTTTTATGGTTTTATGATAGAGAGAGGACAAAGCAACAGCTCAGGTTGAAATTTTTTACTGGCTTAGAGGGTAACTCAAAAGGTGTGCTTCTGAGGTGGCAAGATGAATCAAACCACTATAAAAATAAATGTAGTCTTCCTTTTGACATGTTTCAAGCCCAGCAATTCTACAATCCAAATAAGGCAATTGAGAGCTGCTCTAACAGAGTGGCTGAAGACTTGCTAGTCCAAATCTTAATTCTGAACACACTAGGTTGCTGCTTTCCCTCAGCTTCAAGCACTTCTCTTCCCTGGCCTCCAGCTACCTGACTTAAAGATACTATCTATATTTGCTAAGAACTGTAAATAGACAACACACATTTAAACATACCAAAGCACTATAACAAAGTATTATTAACTGGCTTTTCTCCTAATCTCAACAACTAGAAAACTCCATAATTCAGTTACAATCTACATAAGAGAGGTCTGAAATCTAAGGGAAAGATTTTGTTTTCCCCAAGATTTGGGCCATATTATTATTGCTACTTTTACTACTACCACTACTTGCTATTAATACTAAACTGGCAGCTGTTATGCTGAAAGTGACTCCTTAGTCAGCCTTCTGTACCACTTTCATTTCTAAGAATGCCTCTGACTACATGCAGAAAATGAAAATGAGTGACTGACACACAGTGACTTTGTACACCTGAAAAACCTCAAAAGTATCCTGGAAAGTGTAAGAAAGTGTTCTGGCATAATCAAGGACATCTGGGGGGGGGGGGCGATGCCTTCACATCAGTGGGTTGACTCCTGGCAACTGCCTGGACAAGTCCCTGCAGTTTTCTTCGCAAGATTTCAGAAGTGGTTTGCCATGGTCTCTTTCCTGGGGCTGAGAGAGAGTCGCCATCCCAAGGTCACCCAGTTGGTTTTCATGCCTAAAGCAGGACTAGAACTCATGGTCTCCTGGTTTCTAGCCTGGTGCCTTCACCACTATACAAACTGGCTCTCTAATAGAGGCACTAGTCACTGAAAACAGGAGGAATTGTTTCCTGTCCTATCTAGGTGTGGGTGTGGATTTGTTAGCTGGTAGGCTTGTTTTGGTGTTGTGCATGTTCAAAATACCTTTGGACACTGAAACTCAGATAACTTATTCCACCACCTTAGTTTCTTCAGCAGGTTACATTTATATTAGCCTCACCAGGTTGTCTTCAGGAAAGATATGTTTTGTTATCAGCATTTCCCACAGTAAGTAGTTCTGGCTAAAGCAGGAGGAGCCTTCTAAGCTGTAGAAAGGCCAGTCTTTTTTCACTCAAGACTCAGGACAAAATTAATAGTTTAAAGAGCAGTGGCCCCTTTAAATTGCAGGAAAAAAAAATTAAAATTAAAAATTCTTTCCTCAACTCCACTTGGCGAAAATAAGCACAAACAGCAATAACAAGGTGCAATAACAACCTTTTGGTAACATATTGTGGCAAGCTATGAATTCTGGCCTATTGAACCATGATTTGCAAAAGCAATATCCACGCATACTCTCCCACTATGCTTCTTTCTTTGCATTACTGGAAAACAACTAGAAAGCCACAATTATAGAAAACTGCTGACTAGACATATTTACCATATATACTCACAGATAAGCCAACTTTCAAATTTTTAACCAAAATACCATGAAAAATCCACCACCCATGGATAAGCCGACCCTCAAAATTTTTGCTTTTTTTTTTCAATTTTTCTAAAGGGCTTCATTTGTTTTCATATTTTATATCAATAAATGCTGTTTCCAGAACAGATTCCATTTTAATTTTTCACAATTGGCTTATCTGCGGATGGCACATTTTTCATGGTATTTCAGTTAAAAATTCAAGGGTCAGCTTAGCTGCAGATGGGCTTATCCGCAAATATATATGGGCACTTTTGAAAAGTATTACTGGTAGGCGGCCATCTATTGTTTAAATATGAATGTACCGGGTGGCTTTTTCTCTCAAATAGTACGGCTACAGGCCACCTATTGCTGGTTTGTTTTGGGTACTTTTTTCCAGTTCAAACAAGCCAAAGGAAAGCTTAAAACAACTCTCCGGAACATTCCAGCTAGAAACTGAAGTCAGACAATATGATAAGCAAAGAACAAATAACTGAACGGTAGTGTGCATCCATGCCACGAGGGGAAGGAGCCAGCAAGCACGTTCACAGCTAAATCACGGCAATGGTGTCCAATGCAACCATTAAATCCGATTTTGCTTTGTGTTTAATTGTTGATAAATAAACTAGGACACGAAGCTAATCTTAAAGCAAAACAATTAGACTTAATCCTAGCTCAGATCCAATAAGAAAGTGTGCTTAATTGCTGGTTTCTGCTTGTTCATGTGCTCGTACACAGAGAATGAAGGAGAAATATATTGTGGGAAAAGACCAGCTGCATGAGGCCGACGGCTTAAACTTCCGCAAAGAATCCATCGCAGCATTCAACCAATTATGGAGAATGGTGTTGATCTTCCTAGCCCTGGAGTCCCACGCTAGGAACACAAGGGGGAAAAAGCCACCCTAAATTTTCTTCCAGAAACCATTGATGAATACTGCCACTAGAGATAAAAAAAGATTGTTCAGCCTCTAAGATTTCAAAGTTACCTCTTTCTTCTTTCCAGCTGTTCCTACTGTGCTTCTGGTGCTTGCCCTCTTCTTCTTTGCAGCTGCAGTGGTCTTAGCTGTCTGCTACATCAAGAAGTAAGTAGGCTTGCGCTTTTCACATTCTTGCATTTCTACTAGCAGCATATACTTAGATGTTAGCACTGCCTTTTGATATGTACTAGAACTTGGGCATTCTTCCCACTATATGTAGAATGTTTTTTAAGTCACCAACTAAACAAGTAGCTTTAATCAGTAAATATATTTATTCATGCCTTCTCAAGGCAGCATAAATATAAAACAAGTAAGCCATGCTCATATATGAATGTATAATGTATTATTTTACTGTAAACCGCCCAGAGTCGCTCTGCAGTGAGATGGGCGGTGACAAATTTGAAATATAAATAAATAAATATAGCATATGCCCACATAGAAAAATCTGCAAGTTGGCAACAGTGCAGTGGCAGCAAGTAAACTGCAAAAGGTGGCCCAAAGTAGATGCTTGTCACTTGCCTATATTCTACATACATCTGATGTTTTAAGGGGTTTTTTTCCTTCTAGACTGAGTGAACATGAAAAGACTCAAAACTGTAATTTACAAAATTATCAGGTAGTGTTCTTAATTACTAGTTTGTTTTGGTTTACTTTTTGAAAGTCTCTCTTGAACAGTCATAAAGGAATGTAGTTCAAGGCCATGACTGGTTTGCATTGGATCTGATCCAAATATAGGATCAATCATCAGTTCCATTTTTCAGATGGGTAAATCCATAACACTGTACAGTTGAACTGCTGGTTGGCATTATATGGACTTGAGGTCACAGATAATCATGCAACCTCCTAAGATTCATTAAAGCTGTATATATTTTACTGAATGTACAGTGGAACCTCATTTTAATGAATTAATTGGGGAAAGGGGTATCCATTATTCATTATGCCCACTGAATTGAAGAACTGCAGAGATTTATATCATTTGCATGATACCATTTGCATAAATACTTCATCATGCAAATGATATAACATGATACAAATGATATCATTTGTGCCACACAAATATTACAAGTGACATTATTTGCATCATTTGCAAATAATGAATTTTGTAGCAGAAATTTGGTCTGTCTCTTGCACTAGTAAATCGGGGTTTCACCATCCTCTAGTATGCTTTCTAATAAGTATATAATTGCTTGCCTAAATTTCTTGAGCTATAAATTGTTCCAAGGATAGTAGTACAGTTCAGTTTCTTTTGGACAGTAGTGCGTTGGAGACCTATGGTGGTGAAATATCTGCCTTAACTGCAAAATTTAAAAAAAAAAAATCACAAAATTGAGGCCACTGTGGTATATTGTTAAGATGCTAGACCAAGTCCTGTGATCCAGTATAAATCCACCCTTTGCCATGGAAGCTCGCTGACTAACACTGGGCCAGTCATTCGTTCTCAGTCCAAACTACCTAGTAGGGTTTATTGTAGGGAAAAAATGGAGGAAGGAGTGCTATGTATATGCTACGTATATCCTTGAGCTCCTGGAGGAAGGGAGGAATACAAAGTTAATAAATACATAATGAAATAGAGTACAGTGAAAGCAAACACACTCTGAGAAGTAGATAGCTTCTTATCTTGCATCATGACACTAATTATTAGTAAACCTGAAAGATACGGAATCCTTAATTATGAACCTTAATTTTTAGCCTAAAAACATGAGTAATAAACACAAATGTTTGACACTTGCCGCAGCTATTTATTAATTTTATATTCATATATTATCAAAGTGCCCACATGCATTTTTCTCAGTTAAAAAATTAAAATATAATTGCTTATGATACCTTACTTTTATAGAAATGTGTAACAAGCATAATTTCTAAAGTACACTAAAATCAGGTAAATGATCAAACTAAATAGTACCTTAACTATCTGCGGATTTTCAGGTTTGATCTCTACAATTTTCCTTAGATAAATCATTCCAGAAATCAGGAGCTGCAACTAAATTAGGCATACTGTTCTCCAAGGCTTGCACTTCAAAGAAACATGAGTGGGGTTTCTTTATTTCACAACAAATCAGTCTTTACTGCAGTCATTAGTTCATTTGTTTGTTTGTTTATTTTTATTTATTTATGCATCACATTTATATATCTAGCTTTCTGTCTGTTTAAAACACTTTTTCTACCACCTTGCAATTTAAAAAAAAAAATCAAAGAGGTTTATGGTAAAATATTGTTTCTGTTGTAGCAGCTGAAGAGGCTTTTAGAAAGATATTTCTGAAACATGGATTGCTGACACAGTATTTCAAATAAGGACAGTTCAGGATATAATGATGGCTTTACTTTCTAGAATTTCTGTATGATATATAAATGGCAATTATTGTTAATCAACTCTGCTTTTCAATTTGTTGAAAGATACAAGAAAACATCTCTATTTTCAAACAAGGAGAAGAAAGATGAAATTGAAACCAAGAACTTAAAAGAATTAAATGCAAAAAGCCAACCTGCAGAGCAGGGCCCAAAGAATGGAAAAAAGGAAGAACCGGAAACCAAGCCCGAAGCATCAGTAAAATGTTTGGAAGCAGAAGTTTAAGACAGAGCATCTAAATGAACAGACACTGCGTGAACAAATGGCAGAAACTAACAGTTTATACATTGATAATTGTAAATACTGCCAAAGTCAGTATTAGGTGTGTCATACAAACACTTCATACCTCATATATATTAGCTTACACATTGTTAATAGACGAATGATCTTCCCACAGTAACACCTATACAGCACACATTTTCAGTTTTCTGTAACTCTTTTGGGGGCGGGAGGGCGGATGTGTTTTCCAAAACATGAATTCAGACATGCAATTCAAACAAACAAAAAAATTTGTTGTTGTTGTTATACAGTACAAAGGATTTCATGGAGAAACTTGAATATGCGAACTAGATTTAACAGAGAAACAGCTCCTATATTTTTCAAATGATGGAAGCTTTAAGATATGTCTTTACTGTGGGGTCATCACAGAATTTCAGAAATGGAAAGAGTGATGGAAACGAGCACAGGGAAATGTCTGTTTCACATACAGTAAAAGATTCCGGCACAAATTGTTACATAGCCACAAAAGTTTTATGATTCTTGTGATTCCAGTTTCTGTGTCTCTTCCTGCCTTCTTTTCCAGAAATCTAACAAATCACAATCTATCAATTTTAAATATGGAAAAAAGTTCAAAAATAATGACAAAAAAATCTGTTAATTCTATTTCTTTTTTTCCATGCATGTCATATTCCTATTTATTTCAAAAATATTTAACAGCACAATCATATGCATGTTTACTCAGAAATATGTTCCATTCTATTTCATGAACTTACTATCCAGTAAGTTCAAAATTGCTATATAAGAGATCTTTGTAAATTGAGAGTTGTGGCTGTTACCATAATCTAAATACAAATATATTTATCAGGATTCCACTGAAATTAAAAAAAGTTCACGCAACTATTTATTTAATACATAGTTACAGAAATTCACATATAGATACATCTTTTTAATCAACTGATTTAGTTCACAATTATTTTCCAAGGATGGACAAATTCATCTGAAAAACTACAGAAATGTATTTGAAATCATATGGAGAGCGTCTAGAAATACACAAAACAGCACTTTCATGCTTTTAGCTATGTGCCTTGACAAAATGAATTGTTCCATTGTCCACTTACAGTACAGTGCAAAAGTTTTAGGCAGGTGTGAAAAAATGCTGTAAAGTAAGAATGCTTTCAAA